CTCAGTGTCAGCTGTATTTCAGCAGTGGCATATATAATCAAGGAAGCAACCTAGGAGTCTTTGGAGTGAAAGGTGATATGTCATAATTAAATGTTGTTGCATAGTCTCCAGTGCTTTGTGGTGAATGGTTTTAAAAAGATGGAGCATAAGGAAGTTTCCAGTATTCCTGGTATTTTGCAGGGATTAGGGATTTCATAACTGTCTGTTGCATGAGAGAAATGTGAGACCCAAAGGCAACACAGTGAATGTGGGATTTGGTGGACGTGAGCTCCATTTCACTTTCAGCACAATGTTCTCAGACTTGAGTGTGCCTCAGTTTCCCCTTGTCCATACATCTTATATGCAGACATACATATAAATTTCATTTCCTTCTTGAAGCATTTTGAACTCCATAGGTAAAACAAAGGCAACCTCTGTAGCTACAGTTATACTTGAGATTAGTGTACAGTGGGACTGGGGCAACATCTCTTTAAATTGCTCTGAGCTCTCTGCTGGTGCTCCCTGTATTTAAGCAAACCAGAGAGAGCAGCAGCACAAACACTGGGCAGCTGAACCCAGCTTGCCTGTGTTTGCCTAGGCAGTGATGCCTCTGTGCTTCTGTTTGCTTGCTACAAATGCAATTGTTTCTGGGCACCAGGCAAAAGCTGAGTCAAGCATTATGCTCGCTTTCATTTTTGGAGCATCACAAACAGGTACATTTCTCCCCTTCTAGCACCAGCTTTCTACTTTCACCTTCATTTTTGTACTTAGCAAATTTTCACTTTAATCACTTATCAGCCTTGATACCCAAATACTTGAAAGTGTGAGCTGTTGCTCGAGGCAGGAAAAGATAGAGCATCGGAAGCCTTAATGGCAAGCACCTACATGACCCAAAGGAAGGTCTTCTCCTTCAGGCCTTTGCCTCCAGGAGCGCGTCTGAGGTGAAGTGAGGTGCCCAGAGGTGCTCATGAGAGACATGTGAGCAGCCAGGCTGAGCATTAGATTATTTTTCAGTACTTATCAGAGGAACTGTGAATTGCTCCCTAATTAAGAGCTAATGCCAACTTCTGTGAAATTTGTTGTCATTCACCTGTGAATTATCCTCCTGCAATTTAACTTGACTACAGGAAGCTTTCTAGTGGTAACATTTTCCTCTGGGAGCTTAATTTGAATGGTAAAATACCTCTGTAGATGCTTATTGAACAGGAATTGATGCCCATGAGCCTGGGAGGGCAGTGTGGGTAAGCACTTAGAAGCCTCAGCAGCCCTTGTATCTTTGGTGTTGAAAATGCAGCTAACAATCTCTTGGAATATCAGCATCCTTCTTCGTTTTCCAGGTCTTTACATTGCCAGCTAAGGCAGAAGAACTGATGGAGCACAAGTGATTCCTATTTTCCCTTCAGTGCTCTTGCCTGCAGGCCAGTCCAAAGTCAGGGAGATGTAAACACATGTACACGAAGAAAGAGAAGTCCAGGAGATAAGAATTGAACCAGAATCTGAGAGAATTTCATCCACAAACAATATAGGAGCTTGATTTTTAAAATCTTTTCTCCAAGATTCAACTTGATTTCTACTTTTAATTTCAGTTTGAAAGCTCAGACCTCCGTATCCTTTGGGAGTGCCATCAGGAAGAAACCTTGCTGACGAAAACTCAGAGCTGAGTGGCTCCTACAGAGCTGCAGTATGCCCCAAACTGAAGAAGGTCAGGACTTCACCCAGGAGGTTACTTGTTAAGAAGTCTGAAGTGAGGTTTCCTAATTAATCCAAGCACTTGTAGCCTGCCCAAACAAGAAAGACAAGTATAATGTCCCTGCACCCGAGTCATTTAACTATTAACCCTGAAGGAGAGTAAGGAGATACCTAAAACAATGACCCAGTTAATTCTGCTTGGTGTTTGAGTGCAGGGTTATTTGTCACTACCTGCGGGCCTCGTGATATCATCATCTGCCAAGTCTTAGCATGACAGAAGGCCAATATTTTAAAGCAGGATTTTAAAGCTGGCTTTGGCATCAACACATCTGACAGTGGCATAATGCAATGCCTTTATTCTCCCATTGCTTGTTTCCACTGACCCTGAGCTGCACACCTGGACTGGGATAAGCAATGGACATGGTGATCCAGAGCTTGAAGCTGACACACAGGGCGGAAACATGGCTTTTTATAAATCCTCCATAAAACACAGCCAAGTGATTCCAAACCTGAAAGACCATTCCCAGATCAGAGTCAGGAGTTATATTTCAGGTCTCACTCAACATAATGCCCCAAGAGAGCTGTTCATCTCATCACAGCCTATGGTTCTTTCTTCATGCTTTTGTATTTTGAGGGTGTTGCGGCCGCATCCTACTGCCTTTGCCTGCTGGGGCAGATGCTCTCTGAGAGAAACTTGCTCTTTTTTACCAGCATCGAGAGAGGTTAAAAGTCTGTGGGCGGAGACCAGCACAGAGTGCCCATTGTACATGCGTGCATACCAGAGCAGTAACTCCCTGGAATGCTGCACTGCTGAGCTTTTACCACCTTGTGTTTGTGTTGCAGCACAGAAGTGTGTGTACATTGCGTCCTTCTCTAAGGAGATTAACAATGTGAAATGGCAGATAAATAGGCTGGCATTTTTTTTTTTTTTTTTTTATTGGACTGGTTAGAAGAGGAAGGTAACTTTGGCTCCCATCACCTCCATAGGCAGAAAGGAGAGGCAAGGTGCAAGGTCAGTCAATTAGGTGGAGCAGCTCCTTTCAGCTGGGAGGCTTTAATGTACTAATTGCGTTAGTAATTAGTGAGTACCACATGGTAAACACTTGGGTTCAAAACAATGTAAGAGCATTAACTAATCCACCCTACAATAGATTTGAATGAAATAAGCATTATACTTGTTTCATTGGTGGTGAAAGGGAGAGACTTGCTGACCATAGATTGAGTCAAGGTAGATGTGTGGGAGACTGGGCCTGTTAGTTTTTCAAGATCATCTTCAGTAAAACCAGCAGGACAGCAGCTCTGGGAAATGAACCTCCTTCCTGTTGCCAAAAGATGTGCACAGCTTTAAGCATAAGTTCTTTTGTGATGCTCTAGCAAGATATTTCTATTTACTCTGAGCTTCAGAAAGTATTTCTAAGGCTAGATAGCAGTTCAGGCTCCGTGTCGCTTTTTTTTTTTTTTTTTTTTTTTTTCAACTTTCCTTTCTGCTTGTGCTGTCAGTTTGTGCTATTTATGGGAAGTTTATTTGATTTGTGTCTTCTGGGATATGGGTGGAGGCCACCCAATGACTTCACAGAGCTGTAAGATACTTCGGACTTTCCATTACAAACCATATATGCCAGAGCTGGACAAGCGACCTATGGTCATACTCAGATGGAAACACATCTTATATGTGTAACTTATGTAGCTTAAGAAATAATGCTTTTTATTACTTCTTCCTGAACTTTAAGCTTATGCAAGGTATTTATAAAAAGCAAAAAGAAGTTAGTGGCACAAGGACATGTGAGTTTCTGGATGAATTATGTATTAAAGCAGAAGAGTCCACCTATAGTGCAGTTACAATTTCATGATAAGTAGCTAGGTTTTTGTTGTTGTTTTGTTGTTGTTTTTTGTTTGTTTGTTTTGTTTGTTTTTACAATTTATTCTGATTAAGAATTGCCTGAGAAAACCCTGACTGTACTCCAGTTCTGCTTGCAGTTGGTCAAGGGGTGGGGTTTGGCAGTGCAGCAGAGCTCACCTAACAGGGAGTCGCTGCTATGAAGGTAGGTCTGCGCTGCCAGCTCTTACTCCTGACAGTGTCTTCTTCTGTGCTTCTCACTGCTCCAAAAGGGCTATTCCTCTCATCCATCAGGGAGCCATTTTGGGGTAGTAAAGTAGCAAAAAAAAAAAAAAAAAAAAAAACCACCTTTATTTCTCTCTGATATGTTCTGCTGCTAATGAAGATAAAAATCTACAATGGCTTTTTGTGGTGGCTACACAGCTGAGGGTTATTTGCTGGACGTTAGAGAGAGAATGTACAAAAAACTTTTCAAGCCTTTAAGAACGCTTTGAGTGTCTCTGTCTCTCTTTCTTTTCTATTTTTTTTTTCTTTTTTCCTAACAAAGTATTTGGTATTTGGCTTAGTCTGCATATGTGGATGATGCATCTTCTGCCTCAGCTGAATATTCACATCTTCTCCCACCAACTTTGGCCAAGCTGAGTGCTTCTATCCTCGGGGAGTCTGTCTAATGACTCAAAGAAAGTTCACATTTGGAGGGGTGAGAGCACAGTTGTTGCTTCTGGGACTTGAGCTTTTTCTACAGAGTACTGGTAACCAAGGGTATACTGGAAACTGGAAGACATTGACTTCATCTTTCCTCCATTGCCCTCAACACTTACATCATGCTTTAAAAATGATCCAGGTGTCTCCTCCTCCTGTGCAGAATCTCAGGGTTTATCTCAGACCCCAGACAGTTTGTGCCTGGCCCAGAAAATATCAAAGAATTCACCCAAAGTGGAGCACCCCACAGTACAGCCAGCAGCCCCGTGCATCTCTCTAATCTGCAAAGTGTGGAAATGGAGCTAGGTTTTCTCTTGCCTCTTTCATAGGGAAACACTATATTTTCTGATCACTGAGGGCAAATCTTTATCCTTCTTTTCTTTTTTTTCCCCCCCATCTTTATATTTTTTTTCCTTCTCCTCTTTGAAAACTTGGTGATGAGGAGCATCTTGGAATAGGAATAATAGCTGGCTTCTCTCTCACTTCTGTCCCAAGTCAGAGATGAATGAGGTTACATTTAAATGTTTCTTTTAATTTACTTTTTAATTTCCATTTTCATCAGTTCAGAGATGCATATGACAATGCTTCTTTGGCTTGGCTGTTCTCTGGTACCAGATCCAGATGTCAGAAATGCCAGCCATCCTCCGTTCCCACTTTGTGTCATGGAAAGCTTTTCAGATATCACAGGAGAAGCCCAACTATGACATGTTTCACTTATTCCCATACTTGGGTTCAACATGTGTGTGTGTGTGTGTTAATTTCCTTTTCTCTTTCCTTTCTTTCAACAGTGGCAGACCTGATCTCTTCTGAGCTACTTGCAGACTCTGGGCCATTGAGACGTTGACTTTGACAGACAGTTACCATTCATTCCTTGGGATCATAACTGCCCTTTCTCTCCCCATCACCTCCTGCACTGCCCTTCCCTTTAATAAAACTCCAGTGTGTCACGGTCCTGCTATGGAGCCCAGAGAGTCTTTGGGCAGCTCCCGTCAAAGGGGAGGTGAGGCGGATTTTCTGCCAGCCTCTGTGTCCTCTGCCAAACCACCGTCTGCCTCCAGCTGCACAGGGGAGACAGTGCTGCCGACAGCTGGCTCGGGGAAAGGGATTCCGGTGAGCGGGGAACGTATGGAGCCTGAAGAAGAGGATGAGATGGGTTCTGGGAGAGATGTGGATTCCACTTCCAATGCAGACAGCGAGAAGTGGGTGGCAGGAGATGGACTGGAGGAGCAGGAGTTTTCCATCAAAGAGGCAAACTTCACAGAGGGGAGTTTGAAACTAAAGATCCAGACGACCAAGAGAGCGAAGAAGCCCCCAAAGAACTTGGAGAACTATATTTGCCCACCAGAGATCAAAATCACCATCAAGCAGTCCGGGGAGCAGAAGCTTTCCAGAGCTGGGAAAAATAGCAAAGCTGCTAAAGAAGAAGACAGAGGACACTCCAAAAAGAAAGTAAGTCCTATGCTTTTCTGTATTTCCCCTTCAGAGAAATCAGAGATTGTCCTGAAAGAAAGAAGAGAGGGTGGGGTGAAATTTGTGGCACGTGTGTCCATCACATAACCTTCAGACCATTTGCAAAGCCCTACTCGATTGTAAAGAATGCAATGCAATGCAGGTCTCATCCTACTGTGCTGTGTGCTGATCTTGAGCTATCCTTCAGATAAACCAGGTGGGAAAGGATCAGATGTTCAGCTGTGCCTCTTTACCTGCTTGCATAATTGAGATTTAAGATTAATTGCTATATGAGCAATGAATGGTGGAGTCCACTTCTTGATTGCTTTTTGTCCAAGCACTAATACGTGGAGTGTTTTGGCAGCTAAAGCTTCTGAATACATTTTTAAAATACAGGTATGTGCACAGAGAACAATCAAATCCACTAATGTATACCAAGCAAACAGCTCCATTATTCTTGTTTACAGCAATGTGCTAGCACCACTATAGTTATGTTTCAGGAAATACTTTCATTATAAGCCTAATCTTTTTGAAATACCCTTCTGGAAAGAAATTTTGGTATGGTATTTTTTTTTCAATAATTTACTCAACTAGGCATAAGGAAAAATTAGTGCTATGTATTAGTTGTTTCCATTAATATTATTTTTGTTTTCTAGTTGGCTCAATATTCAGTGATATGTCTCACACTTATCTGAATGACGTTTCTTTTAAAAACTGCTTTAAACAGCACTGGGGGAGTGACCCCTTGTGACTGCTCATGTTATTTTGGATGTAGAAGTGTTTTCTGCCCTAGGTGTCCAAGGAACCATGGTCAGGTTGCATCACAATGCAAATAATTTGCCCTGTATGTTTAGGAGCATGTGGGCATCGTGATGAATTCAGACACTGATCCAAGTTTAATGAAAGACTTGTGAATAACTCCAAACCAAGTTCATGTAGGGGATGTAGGTTTCCACCTGTTTAAATCTTAGAGTTGATTTGGTCCTGCAGCTCAATGAGCTTTGATCCCTTGCTGTATACGAGTTGCCACTTCTCCTGCGCCTCATATGTACAATTGGCTACTTTAAGCCTGCAGTAGGCTACTTGCTACTTGCCCTGTCAGGAGACAGTCTCCTTCACAATCTGAGTCCATTGACAGCTCAAAATCATTTTCTGAAGCAGAAGCATTTTCCACTGACACTGGGTAGATCCCATGAAGCTTAACATCACTCACTGAGAGTACTTCTTTTAGAAGCTGAACTTGCTGGGGGAAAAGCAAGGGTACTTCTTTGAACACTGGTAAATTGCATACTCCTTGTTCATGGAAAAACAGCACAGAAGAGTTTTGGTCCAATAATACATTGGGAATGGGTTTTCCAGTTATTGAGAAGGACAAGTGCTCGTGTAAGAATGTGCTCAGAGACAGTCACAAACAATTCCTCCGTGGCCAGCCAGGAAAAGAAGACTTGTAAATCACTGCTTACCTCACATGGGCTGTGGAGAAATTGTTTAGAAGTTGGATCTTTATTTCCCAGTTAGATGAGTATGGAAGGCAAGCTCGTTCTTCTATGTGGACATTCAAAAAGGTTAAATAAACAAAACAAATTGTAATGAAACCAAGGGGGTAAGGGAAGGGAATGAAAGTAGCATGGTTATCTTCAGGGTGACTATAATTGCAGAAAGATAAGGAGTTGGAAAGGGGAGGATTGTGGACTGAGTGAGGTCGAATTCAGCTTTTGTTGTGAGCTGGTTTGTGCTGGGTGCAGAGGCTGCAAGCACTCTGGGTAAGAACTGGTCTAATCCAACCATTAAAAAAAAAAATAGAGAAAACACAGCAGGTGGATGCTCTGAGCAGATGGGAAGAGGCCCGTTGCACCGGCGAATCGATTATCATAACACCCAACGGCTGCCATGCAGCAGCTGCTGAGCTAGGGTCAAGTGTGTTGGAGGCAACGTGGCGGAGACAAGTCCCCAGCAGGGACCTGGAGGACCACAGGGCTGTGATCTTGAGAGGTTTGGTGCTTGGAGCTGCGTCCTACATCCCCAAGGTGGTGAGCATCCTGTGTGCCCAGAGCCAGATGGGATTTAACATGCAGCTGGCTCTTGGCCTGTGGGTTAGACAATCATATCTTGGCTCTGAGCATCTTGCATTGAGGGGTAATGAAAGGCGCTGCATGAGAAGTAAGTCAAAAATCAATGGGAAAAGTACTCCAGCACTGGCAGTGTGATTGCTCTAATGGCTGCTACGCATGTCTTCTGGCAGCTACAGTTTTCTGTTTTCTGTGGAAATACAGATAGGAGGAAAAGGCAAGCTGCAACTTGAATGGTCCATCTGTGGGCTTTCCTGGGAGAGAGATGCACATAGCTGGCGTCTGTAGATACTTGCAGAAACAGAGAGAACTGTGGTAGAGGTTTCAGTGTGTTTGTCACATTCAAATAATTCTGGCGGTTTTGATCTTGCAGTCACATGCATTCCTTCAGGGTTAGGTTGCTTTAATCAACATGAACTCAAGAAAAGCAAATAATGGCAGCAGCAGCAGCAGGGAATTATGCATTCAAACTCATGGGGCAGATATGCCACTGTACTGTCCTCTGAATTTCTGCCAGGATAATTTGGCCCGGTGGGTACATTTATCTTGTGCATGGACATGGTGCTGTTATCTCCTCGCTTGTGGATGAGAGACATTTATATGGGTCCCACAGACTGGCATATAAGGATGGAGAGCACTGCAAACGCCATGCTCGTGTTTTGAGAGTGGAATGTCCTACACTTCATATAATGAGTTTATCTTCCGCCAGAAGGAGGAACAAGCTCTATTAGGGCTAGAAGAATCACTCAAGTTTGTTGCATAATAATTTCAGCCACATCTCCTGTAGGTCCCCAGTGCTTTGAAACACCACGTCAGCATTCTTGCAAGAGTTTGAATACACACAGTGCAGAGGGCAAGTAATGAAAACATGGAAGCAATTTAAGTAACAGCATGTGGGTACACAAAGGACTGGTAATGCCAGCAATGTAAAAAGAGTCTGTGAACTGGGGACATGGTATTTGTTCAGTGGCCACTTAGGGAGGAAGAAGATATGCCTGTTCCGAAGCTTTGCACTGTTCCGCTAATTAGGCAATTGGGGCCACAGCCTGATTTCTAAAGCTGTGGTCTGGGGTTCAGTGCTGATTATGAGGGGGCTCTGAAGTGCTGCACTGCTCATGTGCATTTTTTCTACCTTTGATTCCAGCTGCTACACTATATTGAAAGATGTAAACACACATAATATAATTAAATACTTTCCTCATGTTGCTTTTCCATGTGAGCAATTGCCCTGGGGATGTTACATGATGGTGAATGGGAGGGAAAGGATGCCGGCAGGGGATAGTGTTGGGTGCGGTTGCCCTTGCCCTGAAGCAGGGTGGGAGAGCTCCAGAGTTGGGAGCCTCTGCCCCATTGGCTTGGAGGCTTGGCTGCGACCCAAAAACTTTGGGTTTTTAAGCAGTGGCCTTGCCAAGTTTCACATCAGCTTCCCCTCTTGAAGATAAGAGCAAAAGTCGCTTCCTACCCCTCTCCCGGGGCTGTTTGGTGGCTGAATTGCAGCTTGAGCTGTTGGTGCAGCTGCTTGTGCAGTGACTGCAGAGTGTGGAGATGTTATGCAAGTGTGTGTGCTCTGATTTCAACCATTCTGTGCCTGAGGATGGGGTGGGCTGGGCTGCAGCCACTTCAGACTCAATGAAATGGAGCCATTCACCAGTTTAGATGGGAGGGGGAGGGAAGAAGAAAGCCAGGAGCCCAAAGGCTGTGTCAACGTGCTCTGTCTGCAGATTGTGAGCCTTGGAGCCATTGCTCTGGGTGCTCTCACCTACAGCACAGTTGCTTAAGTCCAGAACCCTCAGCATCCCTAGGAGTGTCTTTTCCCTCAGATAAGGGCAAAAGTTGTCAGTTTGGAAAGGCACTAAGAGTGTGGCACCAAATGCAAAGAAGCCATCCATCAGCATTCCCTGCCTGTCACGTAGTGTTTAACAAACCCCAGATGAGTAGCAGTTCCCTGGTTTTGCTTTACTTCCTTCCCCCCTCCCTTCCCTTCATTTACTACCCTGTCTAGTTTTGTGTCTGCAAACACTTCATTTCCCACCCCCTTCCTTTCTATAAACATAGCCTGATAAATTTTCTTGGTGCTTCCATGTATGTAATGTCTCTCTTCAGAGGATGTTAACTATTTTAATTATTAGAAAAATCCTTTTCTGGGGAGCTTGGGATGTGCAAACACACTTCAGTTCTGAATAATAAGTGTCAGCAAGCTAGCTAGAAGTAAAATTTCCTTGTGTGCAGTCAGCTGAAGTTCTGTCCTTGGATTTTTTTTTTTTATTATTATTTTTTTACTGTTTCCCCTCCTGAATGCCTGTGGATATATACTCTTTCTCCACAGGAAGCACTGCTACCCATTTTCGCTTGAAATTCCATTCATCGTCTTCGTTTCCTCTTCTTAGCCCCACGCAGGCAGCTTTCTCCTCCAGTTCCCCCTTCTGTGAGGATGCTCATTCATATGCTTTTCCCTTTGGACCCCTCTTTTTCCACAAGATCATGAACACTTGCACTCCCCCTTTCCATCCATTTCTTTGTACTGTTGACTGCACATTGCACTTTCCCTCCAGGTTCTCGTGTGCATCTGCATTTCTTGCCGGATTACCACTGTGCTGTACTCCTCTCCCTAGTGACTTGTGAGCATGATCATCCAACTGCTGAAAAGTGCTTGCTTATTCCCCTTTGCCAAGGGTATCCTCATGTGAATTGTCTTCTGAGTCATCATTTCCTATTGCAATCTGAACATGGCTTGGGGTATTGCTATAAGCACTTGCTGTGTTAATAACACTGCAAGTGCTTATATCAATATCCCAAGCCATGGAGTTTTGATATATAAGCCAAGGTTTAGAAAGGAGAAAGCCCTTGTATTTCTGTTTGAAGTGGCAAACTGATTTTTATAGACTTTTCTTTGTTTTCTAAAGGATGGATCACCTGTATCACTTTCAGTCC